CCAATGTTCTTTTGGAAATGCACTAGTCCTTTTGGGAACACAAAGACTTCACCTGCATTGATTGTCTTTGAGATTAACTTGTTGGCGCTAGTGATGAACCCTACTTGCAGTTGACCTTGCAATACGAACACAATCTCACTAGCACGTAGGTGGGTGTGCGGCGGGTTCACCCCACCAGGGGCGTAGTCAATACGGGACATTGACACACCCAAGGTGTTGAGGCCTGGGATTTTTTCAACATTGGCTCCAGTCACTATATATCCCTTGCTGTTGTTCGTCGAACCTGGTTTTATCAATCCGTTGAAGAAAAAGTCATTCTCGGATACACTTGTTGTGTCCTTGCATGGATAGCCATTGATCTTCACACCTGTTAAAAAATTTCTCAACACATGGTTAGGTTCAATATAAATATTTGATCGTTAGAGGAAAAATAGAGGGAAAAGAAAAAAGAAAGAATAAGAAGAATACTGGAGGAAAGATCGGCAACACAAATATCTTGAAGCATATCATAATCTGCAAGAACGGGAACCAAGGCCACGACAAAGCTAACAAGAAAGATATTGACAATGGTGGCCATGGTTGTGCAATGTTGCGGTCATCTATTGGTTGTGATTTTAGGTGTTTATATATATCACAAAATTTGTACCAAAAATAGGAAAAACGTAAATAGAAATGATAAAAAGGGAGGGAAAGTTTTGCGGAAGATGATGAAAAGAAGTCAAGAGTGACAATGTGTATTTATAATTAAAGAAATGTGGCTTATTTTGGCTTTTATTTTGTGCCTCTAATTACATAAAAACGAGACGAATATAAGATAATATTATTTCATCACAAAATATTTGTTATGTTGTTATGTCTGTTAAATATAAAAAAAGATACGAATTTTTAAATGGTCCAAAAGTTAAAAAATCAGTTTTCTTATTTGAAATTTACTTAATAAGTTGCGTCTGTCTTATTAAAATAAGTATAATAACATACGTAAGGTTACAATATATGTATTTGACTATTAAGGTTGTTAAGTATATGTGTGTTTATAATTTAAGCATACAGTCTAACAATATATAGTTGGTAGTATGTATGTATAAACTTAAAGTATGTTTTCTAACATATAGAATTCCTTTATTTAGAGAATAAAAATTAAAACTTGTTCCCATACTTTTTCTTTTGCGCTTCATATTTATCTCAATAAAAATTTGTTGTCTAAAGGATCCTACAATTGCGTGAGATTGACAACTAAGATTGGTTCAAGATAAATCTCAATTTCGTAACACCAATTCTAAAGTAGATTTATTTTAAAAGGAATATCAACTAAGTTTATATATATATCTCTCTCTATATATATATATTTATATTTATTCTAATTGATATTAATATATTTTATCTTTTATGTCGTGTTTGATTCAAATTCTTATAGTTTTATTCAATTTAGAAATCTTAATTATATGATATGTACAATTTAATTATAATTTACGTATCAGATATATATTTATACCGTAATTAATTTATTCATACTTTTAATTTCTCAATCATGAATTTATATTCAAATTTATTAAAAGAGACATAAAAAAAGCATTCTATTTATTTGCAATTAAAATATCATTTTATTGAAATTAATATATATATATATATATAGAGAGGAACATAAAAGTAACTTATACATGAAAAGAGCAAGCATTAATCAGCCATATTTAATGGCATAACTTGCGGAGAATTTAACTTTTTGTGAACTTGGAAATTTTTTATTTTTTAAAAAAAAGATGGGGACTGTCACGGTGATGACTGAAATTATGGCCATTATCAAGTTTAATTATGTGATAATAAAATAATTATTAATATTAAGTAATTATAATATAAAGTTATCAAATTACTATAAAACATTAGATTATCACAAAATCAGAATGTCTGCAAGAGCTCCCTATAATTTCTGTATCATCAAGGAGAATCCAAAGTCTGTCATCTTACAATAATTTATAATACTATATAATAATAAATTATTTCTTAATTGAATAATTTCACAGCTTTTAATAAAATTATAAATTTAAGTTGAATTAATTGAATACTGTATTAATTAACATATACGTGTTCCTTATTAATTAAAATTGATGAATTTTATTTTAAAGATAATATTATAATAAAATAAATTATTTCTTCTTATGAACTCATACCCATCATATATATATATATATATGTATGATTAAAAAAATAAAAATAAAATCTAAAAACTAAATCTCATTAGGCATGTTAAGAAACAACATATGAGTTGTGAACCATGTTTTTTCACTTTGTCCCCATTCATAAACCCACATAATTTAAAATAATTTAAGTCAAAACCCATGTGAGACATGAATGCCACTCTCTCTCTCTCACTCACTCACTCACCCACCATCTGATAATTTGCCTTCTTTATGTTCTGAATCAAATTAAACCGTATACCCACTTTCCAAATTCACTCTCATCTCTCTCTGTCAAAATGGGAGGAACAAGAACCAGACTCTTCTTGCTCTTAGTAGCTCTAACAAGCCTCTGCATTGTTCAACTCACAACCGCAGATCATCACCATCATCGTCATGGATACTGGAACATTTTGAAGCTTAACCAGAAGATTAAGCCAGTGGGAGAAGAGGAAGAAAACTCATGGGGCGACAGCTTGAAGAGTTACTGTGAGAGCTGGAGGATGAATGTGGAGATAAACAATATCAGAGGATTCGATGTGGTGCCTCAAGAATGTGTAAGTTACATCAAGAAATACATGACTTCTTCCCAGTACAGTGCAGATTCAAGAAGGGCTCTGGAAGAAGCTACTGTTTATCTTAGCTCTTGTTGCAGCTTGCAAGGCGATGGTAAAGATGCTTGGATCTTCGATCTCGATGACACGCTTCTCTCTACCATTCCTTACTTCAAGAAACATTCTTTTGGGTATGCTTATTTATTATTTTTTGTTTCGATTATTATAATTAAAAGAATTTAATTATCATCAAATATTTTTTAAAAATAATTAGTTAAAAGTCATTAAATAAAATTTATATATATAATGATCTATGCATCTATTGGTTAGAACCCACCAAGTGAGGATCTATGTACTAGTTAGAGAATGCACCAACAGATAAACTCATGTTTTGGCTAAAACAATTGTGTTAAGCAAAAGGAGTGATTACTTAAACTTTTTAGATCTCTTTCTTTAAGAAAGTTGTGTAGTTATATTGTAAAAGGTTAGAATATTAATGACCCAGTTCAATTACTTGATGATTAAGCACTGACCCAGTGAATTTTGTTGCGGGAAAATGAAAACTAAAGTGGAGAGAAGGTAAATGCAACTTGTTTGGAAGATTGGATGAGGGAAGGCAAGGCACCAGCTCTTCCTCACTCACTGCAGTTCTATCATCTGATCAAAGACAAAGGAGTTAAGATCTTCCTTGTCTCCTCAAGAAGGGAAATCCTTAGATCCCCCACAGTTGACAACCTAATAGATGTTGGATATCATGGATGGACTAATCTCATTTTAAGGTATATACATCTCTTGCTAATCTTTCTATAATCAAAAGCCAGCATCATTTTAGGCCATACAAGCCTAACCTTTTCATAGTTTGAGATTATCTTCCGAACTTTTTGGTATCTATAAAAGAATTGTTTGTGGAATTGGATACTTAAGGTCGATTATTTAGAAGCATTAATTGGAATTTGCAGAGGGTTTGAGGATGAATACATGAAAGTGGAAGACTACAAGGCAGAGGTGAGAAGGAAACTGGTGGGTCAAGGGTACCGGATATGGGGTATAATTGGAGATCAGTGGAGCAGCTTGAATGGACTCCCAAGTGCCAAAAGGACATTCAAGCTTCCAAATTCAATGTATTATGTGCCCTAAATTACTCTGACCTATTTCTAACACCCACCCATCAGAAAAAAATCTGCTTTCTTTTTGTGCTTTGATTATCTGCAGCTCTGCAGTGTGCTTGCTGCAATCCCAATAAAGCATCTGCCAATTTGTCTTTTTTGTTTTTCCATGTTTCTTTTGGGTGAATGCCAAGTTTCTTTTCTTGTATAAGCTTACATCTGTTCTCATTGTGTTCAAAATAATAATCCCAAGATGGGTATTGGTCTGAAAGCTCCTGACCCAGAAGGCAAATGGAATGATTTAGAATGGCAAGCCTTAATTTTTTTGACTGTTTAAAAGGTGAAGTAATCAATTGGAATTATTTGCTAAGAATAGGGAGATGTAGTGTTAAAATTTTTGTATTTTATTTCAATGTTTCTAAAGTTTATATTTTATTAAAAATATATAATTTATTATTTTTTAAATATATTATAAATTAAATATAAATAATGTATAATATTTAATTCAGACATACCGATTAAATATTAATTTGTATAGTTCACGAGGTTTTGTCGATTAAATTGATTAAGTTTTAGTAATCCCATTATATTTTTTAGCGAAAAACATTCAATAATAATTAAATTTTTTTAGTTGATTCACGATATTATTAATTATAGATAACTGAATTATAATATTTAATTTAATCATATCGAAAACTTAATTAATTAGTGCGTTTATAGAATTATGTTAATTAAATTAATTAAATATCAGCGAGTTAATACATTTCTGAGCAAAAAACATCTTATAATAGTTAAATTTTCTTAATTATGCTTAACGGTTTTAAAAATTCGAAATAATCTTTTTAGGTGAAAAAGTATTCAATTTGAATTCATTTGAAATTTGAAGGGAAAAAAGTTCGTAAGTAAAGATATAGACCGAATATAAAATAATAATTACATATAAAACAAAATCATAATATTGAAAAAGGATTATGATATTGAGATAATTCATGATGAGAATTGATTTATTGATTAGTAACATGTTGTAGATTTGCCTTCTCTCATCAAGTGAAATTAATTAGATGCGAATATGTTATGCGAGTGAGTAAATTAATTAAATATGTTATGCGACGAGATTTGAGTAATTGTATATAGTTTTATGATAGAAAAATTTTAAATGTAAAATATATAGTATTTTTATTAAATTTTATCTCCAATATAAAATAATATGATCTTTTAAAATCATGATATAATATTTTTTATTTATTATAGTTGAAGTATAATATTTAATATAATTTTTATATATTAAATTCATATTTATTACTTCTAATGATATAATGTTTTAATGAATAAAATTTTTATAAAAATTATAAATTTAAATTTTATTGAAAACATAAATTTTATTGACGGAATCACCTGACCAACTCGAGCATAATTTTACTTTTTTAAAGCTTTAGTTGATAAAGTTCTTAAGTTTAATTTAAATCAGAAGTTTTAACATTATTAAAAACACGAACGGCATTGGTGAAACCATGTAATTAAATTAGATGCAGTCTTATTTTTCTGGGTAAAAAGATTATACTGAAGCAATTATTTTGTCTTTAGTTGAGGACGGAGTAAAACTCGGCCTAATCTTTTTTCAATTTTTTTTTTAAATATATCTTTTGTTAAAGAAGAAAGTTTTTCATTTATATATTCTAGAAATAAGATTTTTTTTTTTTTAATCTCTCTGCATAATTTTTGCTGAAACAACATTTAATTGAACCGTGTTCAATCAGCGATAACAGAAGCTCGTCGGAGGAAATTCACATGCCGCCAGAGGAAGAGGGGAGTAGCGTAGAGCCCTCGTCAGTGTTTGCTTCTTTGACACGCCGTTTATGGAATTTAAGAACACCCGCCTGCGTCATACCATCTATTTCTTATGTTCTTTGCTCGATTTCCTTCAATTTGGATCCGTTTCTGCTAGTGGGTTCGGTCTCTTTGAGGTCTCTGTGAAATTCTAGGTAAAGGTTCGACATACCAAATTCATAGTTTTGCCTTTTCATTTCCGAGTAGATTTTTAACTGGGTTGCATCATTGGGAAAAGTTGTTTGGTTTTTGTTTGAATTATGCTGTGTTTCAATACGTATTGGTTTAAACTTGAATTTGGTTTTGATATGTGTGAGAATGAGGTAGAAGAAGGTAGTTGATTAGTTGCAAAGCATGGTAGGAATACTTCGTTGTAAAACATTGTAGGTTAATGAATTCTAGAAATCCTGAAATCTAACTCTAATGCCGCAAAAAAGAAGGAATTAAACTCAATTAAACAGCATGCCACCTATATGTTATAGCTACATGAATCTGTTGGTTCCGTTCTACCGTAGATAAGATGATCATGGAAGTTTTTTCTTTTTAGAGGTGAGTAAAAAGTCTATAATCGAGTATTTTAAGGTCTTTCTCTACTGATTTGAAAACTTACCTGGCCATTTAACGAGTTAAAACATCCTTTTGAATATTAATTTTTTTTTTTTGTTTGGGAATTGTAAAGCTTTTCAGCATCTCATCTTGTTCAGGAATGTCTTCACTATTATTGTTTTTCCCTAGATATTGCAATGTTGATTTTTCTTTTTTGGGTTCCTCGGAAGATCTCTATAGACAATTTAATATAAAGTTTTTTGTTTGGGAAGTTTATGGTTAATATTTATGATTCTTGGCCTTCATCTTGTGGTATCTATATTGTTTATTTTGATCATGATTCCATAAAATAAGCTTTTAATTCAATGGCCAAAAGAGGTTGTCTCAGGGTTCGAATGGGGGAGTTATGGAAGGCGTTGCACTTTCTTTGTTCGATGGAATTCTGGAGAATGGGTGTGTTATGGACCATCTCTATAGTCATGTCTTACTTACAGTTGCTTATGAGAAGACTCTTCTCTCCATCATCTAGCCCCTGTTGTAGCTGCTCTCCTCCTAAAACTAACTGTATTAGGCCTGTTTGTGTCATAACTGGTGTAAGAAACTTTTTTCATGCCTCTTGAGTTATTTGCTACTGCCTTTTCATTTGCTGCCTTCCTTCCATAGTTTTTTAATGCTCTCTCTCTCTCTTTCTCTTCCTTTTCTCTCTTGTTTGCTAAGTTACTCAACTACTTTGTTTTAGGCTACATCTGGTCTTGGGGCAGCTGCAGCATTTGAGCTTTCAAGCAAAGGTTTCTATGTTGTTCTGGGTATGTATTCCATGTTATTTCCCCAACACGTGATGCTGTCCTAGAGAAGGAAAATGTCCCCTTTTTCTGGTTGATGTAGGTATTGATGTTTGTTGGTTCAAGTCACAACATTGTTCCATTTGGTTCCAACTATGATTTGATAAGTTATTCAATCACGGTTGGTCAAATTCATGAATTTTCTTACCAAATTTGACAGAATAGATCAGAGGTAAAAACGACCTTAGTTTAATTAGGTTGAAATGATTGTTTTCAGGAATTCTTATTGCCTTTTTTACAATCTTCAAAAGAGATAAACCATTATCACGTTGATTGATTGTCTGCCATGAAATAGGGATATTCCAACTCCAAAAAATATTTTTCTAATCATATAAGATAGTTAATAGTTAACTTTTCATCATTTTGGGGATTATGGGATATGACATAGATACTCTGGAGTTAACTTTTCATCATTTTGGGGATTATGGGTTATGACCTAGATATTCTGTATGCATGACTGAAGCTTACGTTGCTTTGCAGCTGGAAGGTCACCCCATTTGTTATTAAAGGTATAGCTTATGTTTTAAATTGCTGCATTTGAATCTGCTTTACACTGACGTGATAGATGGTTGTGATAATTGCCTGGCAGACTATGGAAGACATCAAGAGTAGGAATAAGGATGCCCATCTCAAAGCTTTACAAGTTGACATGTCATCTTCCCAGTCGATATTAAAGTTTAGAAATTCTCTTCAAGAATGGCTGTGTGATTCAGATCTGCACTCTTCAATCCAACTTTTGATTAATAATGCTGGGATACTGGCAACATCAAGTCGGCTCACGACAGAAGGATATGATCAGTAATAATCTCATTTCTTTAATTTTCTCTTTTATATGATTCCAACATATTTTTGCGTAAATGCTACAGTCAGTAGTTTCACACTTGTATTTTACTTTTGGTGGAAGTTGGGATTTAGTTCTAAAAGAACTGCACATGCTGATAGTAATATGTCAATTCACAATCAATGCAGTGCATTCCATGAATGTCTCAACTTGTAAAGTGCATTATGTTGTGCAGAAGGATTCAGTTTTCTTTCTTTTGAAGATTTGCAAATAAAATTGTATTGATGATTTGAAAATTTCTGTCTCTTATACAGCTTCTTCGTAAATCTTGATACTGGTTTTGCTGCTAATAAATTTACATGTATTTTGCAGGATGCTTGCCACAAATTATATTGGTGCATTCTCTCTGACCACACTTCTCTTACCACTTCTTCAAAACAGTCCTGTTCCTTCCCGGATAGTGAATGTGACATCCTTCACACATCGATATGGTAATTTAATGAATTTATGTATTTACTAATGTTGTTTCCAACTGAAACTTACCTTGCTCTTCTTGAAGCAAGGTACGAGACATTGTTTTCTTATAGTATACATTATATGTGCCTTATATTCCCTGTTAAAGATTGATAGATTTAGAGAAATGAGAAAATCTAAACAC